GATTTCTGATTTCTCGGAAAGTGTGGCGAGTGTGCAACCGACGGTTCAACAGATTACTGATGCGCTTAAACCGTTCAATCGCGAGATTCAAATCCTTGCGACGGGGTTTATAGAGAGACCGCATGATACGGTTAGGTTGAAGAGGGTGGAGAAGGAAATCGATCAGTTTGCGATGAGGGATGAGGAGAAGGAATATTTGAAGAGGTTTGTGAGAACATTTGGGAAGAAGGAGAGGAAGCGACCGAGAGATAGGTTGTTGAGGGATAAGGAAATTGCGCCGAAGATTCTGGAGTTGAGGAAAAAAGGGGCGTTCTTGGGGTATACGTATAGGAGGATTGATATGGGGATGGGAGCGAGAGGGGGTGGAGATGGGAGTGGGAGTGGAAGGGGAGTGGTAGCAGCGGGAAGCTGGAGGCCGAATGTTTGGCATCGGGCTAGATTGAGTGTTCATTGATTAGATTGTTTTGAATTGCGTGGAGATTATGAGGTGGGTGGTTAGGCTCGATGAGAAAATATGGGAATATGTGAGGACTGGGTTAATGATGCGGAAATGGATGAATGTTTGACTGGTGGCTGGCTTAGCCTGGCTGGGCTGGGCCGGATTGAGCTGTAACCGAAAGGATTGACTTTTGAATTGGTTTTATAGATACTGTACACATTCGTTTATTGAATTTTTCTTTTACTACTAATTCGACTTGATTCTCTCTTTTCTGTATGACTTGAATTTGCTCTTGATTGTGTTACTAAGACGTTTGCATTCCTACACGATGGAGGAAAATGAGGCGAGTGAAGCACAAAGAAGCTACCTAGGTAGTGAAGGAATAACCGAGGGGCTTGAAAATAGGAGGTGTAAGTAATGTATCAATGGCCTTTGTCCCTTTTGTTTGCTTGTAATCTCAAATTAAGTAGTATAAAAGATAAGTATACTTGAATATATGCCCCGCTTACACAGAAGAGACGTGATATATATATATATGTAAATGAATAGGAAAGGGTTGGACGAGCCGAGTTTTATTTTTGTAGACGAATAAAGTGGGTGAGCAAGGGGATGACATATCGGATTGCTTGTCTTTAGAATAGAGAAGGGAGAGGGGTATAAAAAGTGTTTGTGGGAAGAAAGTACAATTTGATTAGATTTAAAGATAGTATGGGGTATATAGTATATAATATGAGGAAACATCGCACATTCCGTCGTCATTAAGCCGAACTCCAAAGGCAATGTTTAGGGGGAAAAAAGATATTTCAAAGAAATTAAAATATGGTGGTACTCAAAGGCGATCCTCAATTTCGTGAACAGATATCTTCATGTCTTTATTGTTATCGTCATCGATGGGATAAAAGTCAGTGATGTCGACGGGTTTTTCACTGGGGTTATGGGGGTATGGAGAGCTAGAACGATTCGAGTTTTCAGAGAGCTCGCAGACGTAGTGGTTTAGGAGGAGACGATGTTTGAGGAGAGATTGGAAGTCTGCTCCGCGAGCGGCGTTGGCGATGTTATGCGCTTGAATGAGGATTAGAAGGAGAAATCCTTCGATGATCTAGGAGTTGTGTCAGTATGGAGGTTATGATGAGTGCATTATGCTGGTCAAGGCGGACTATGGAACGGGAAAGGTTAGACGTACCATAGTTGGGGTATTGCACAGAAGTTGACCGGTTTCGGACCATTTCATTATAGACGCTGTGGCAAGTAATGCAAATACAACACCGACAGATGCGACGCACACACCCGATAATGCGCAAAACTCTCCTGCTGCGGCAGATGCTCTTGTGCTAAAGTTTCTTGGCTTGGTAGGGGTTTGGTACGGGGATGGGATATTAAGTAAATCTAATAATCGATCATCACTTTCGGCAATTTTCTCGAATTGTACCTCCGTAACTTTCTCGTCTCGATAATAAACATTCCGAAGTACAAAACCGTCGATAAAACCCACGAGGCCGGTAAAAGTACCAATGATTAACCACCAGTTATCGTTAAACTCGAGAATAGGACCGACAGCTATCCAGACAATCGTTACGATCAAAGTGATCAATAGCCCAACGCCCGAGCCCATAACATCAGCAAAGATATCGATAGATCTATCAATCCGGCTGATGGTTGGGGCAGGTATCTCAAATATTGGGTTAGGTTGGTAATCGTTTGTAATTTCCCTCAATCGCCACTCAATCTCGGAATCGACTCTTAAAGCATACTCAAGACACTGCTCAAGATTATCCTCTTGCTGCTGTTGTATATTTTGCAAGAAGATGGAAGTAAATGTCAAGGCAACTGCAGTAGCTGTATTAACATATAATTGCCAAGTGTCGCTGAATTGAAATAGAGGACCAATGCCAACCCAAAAGAATATACCAATCCAGTAGAGGATATATGCCCAGATGGAACCAAGGCCTTTAGCAATGATTTTGCAAGTGCTGTTCCAAATATAGCGTGCTTTTGATATATCTCCACCACCACTTGTGAGTAGGATATCATCGGCGTTGGATTCAACAGGTTTATCATCTTTGAGCAATTTCTGAGCAGGGTTCTTGTGGGTTTCCATCCACTGGCAGCTAGGTAATTGTCGGAGAAGGCGCTCAGAAGTTTGATTGCGGGACTGGAGTTCGGCGAGAGTGGTTAGAAGAGAGTTTGAGGCGTTGGAAGCTTGTCTGAGGAGCAGAATGTCTGTTAAGTAGACTTGAATTGAAGAGGCATTTTGCATGACGATTTGCCAGGTATCAGTCGTGCCATTAATGAAACCAAATATGACCCAAACAAGCATGATAGCCATCATTGCTACAAATACCCAATTTGAACCAGCAGCTTTCGTGACAATGTCCAAAATATTCCTTTTCGGTTTAGAAGTGACATCTTTAGTTGTGATTAAGATTGGCTCTCTCTTGCCATTCGATGAAGGTTGTCCAGGGGCCTTTTTTGGTGTAGGATGGGAAGTTTGAGAAATAGCTGCGGCTCGAATTGGTTGCTTCGTCGGTGAAATGAAGTCCTTGAACTTATGCCAAGTTGACGGAAAAGTCATTTCCACTATAGTATATCTTCTAGAGCAACAACAAGTTTCATAAAATATACTATAATTAACAAGTAAGGTGACAAAAAAAGAGGTTGAAGCCAGCTTGGAAAAGGACAAGAAATCATAATCGGCCAAGATTCACAAGACTTATATCAGATATTGTGCACCAGGATAGGGCATACTTGATGTCTGGAGTCACTAAGCTCCATCTAATACTACCTGCATCTCCTCCACAAATCAGGGGATAGCGATGAAAAGAGTCGGTGTACTGCCCAAACCCCTTGCAATACATGTCAGTTTTGCTTCTGATATTCGACATTCAAAACACTAGTGTTGTGAGAATCATTTGCAGAATCAATTGCTAGTTGCATATGATGCGATGAGGGGGTCTGAATGGTGTCAAAATTTGACAGCAAAAGGAACAGAAACGCCAGTATTTCGAATGCCCAGATTTGAAGCAGCTTATGAGTCGGGGTTGAGTGATGAAACAAAATGAAAAGATGGGCCCCACTTCAGAGAGGAAAAACATGTGGCCATGACTTGGGGGGAAACAAGCAAATGCGGCAACAAAACGCCAAGAATTAGCTTGAATGATCCCGTCTCAGACCTAAAGTCCAATCAACAGCCATGAATATTACACAGGGCTGAAGTTGTATGAACTACATTGTAAGCGCCACTGCTGCGGGTGGCTTGGCATTCCCGGCCTTTCAACGTCTGCGCATCGACTGCCGCATAAATGTTGTATGGATGGATATATTCGGGTTACTGCGCTGTTGAAAATGATCCACAATAGTTTTATATTGCATTATTAGAACCAGCGAGTCTAAGGAAACTGAATGCATAATCAATTACTAACTTCGAAGGAAGATCTATTTCGCAAGAATATAGGATCGACACGCACTGTAAATGATCATCCAGAATACAATAACCCGCCTGTTCAGGGACATGGGCTTTTGAATGCTTGAACTATTCTGGGGATGTCAACAAAGTGCCATTGCAGTGATACATTAACATGACAGCAGCAGCTTCAGTTACTAAAAAGATCTGTCAATATAAAACAGTATTCAATGAGAACACTTGTTGCGACTCCAAATTTCTAAACTGTGGCCTTTTCGCAAAAGATGGGTACATCTGGTGTCAAGGTTAAGGGGCTAACTCAATTGCAATGCCACACTTGCCACACTTGCCGCACATATTGAACGTGCAGCCATGACTTTGTGCATCTCACAAGTTGTGTTAAAGTAGTTAATTGATTTTTGTATGTTGATTCACGGATCGACATTGAAAGAAAACATGCTCAAAGCAAATGATGTGATAGCATGGCAAACGCCATCTTGGACCTTGAGTACCCAGCAATCTTCGTCACTAGCTTTGCGACACAAACATTCAAAAAAATCGTTCGAATGCCGTGAGAAAACAAATGATTGCCGATACTGGTTGTATATATGCGATGCCAGTATGTTCCAAGAAGCAAAAACCACGGATCATGAGATGAGTCTGCCAATATATTGAGGGTGACAGTGCAAGCTGAATACGATTATTAGATGAGCAATTCGACAATTCACTTAAATCTTAGAGATTCCATCATCTCTAGAGCAGAGCCTCGAGTCAAATATGTAGCCAAGGACATTCTGGTTATGCTTTGAACCTCACTCGAAACAAAGGTATGCTGTTGGATGCCGCGGGACCTGTTGCGGAGCGGCACTTGCTAAACACAAACATCGGTAGAGACAGCATTGGGTTTTGTCAAGTTTAGTCACGCTCCACCAAGATTTCTCCGGTGTCCTGCAGTCCTACCGGCATTTTTGTACGCTCAGACCTGGGCATCGCATCAGTTGGGTTTAGCATGACGATGGTAGTATTTCGAAACACGAACTAACAATGATGATATAGAAGATCGGATGGAGACACAAAGTATCTAGCTGTATGCCGCAAACATTTCCGGAATGAGAACAGTATTGGTGCAACTCTTGCCGAACGCATTTGGGAAGAAACCTTGTCTTGATGAGAAAGCACTTGAAGTCGGATTTGTACAGCCGTGCTTACATAAGTACAGTGCTAGCCTTCTATGGTATGGTACGATGCGAGCAAATAATCCGCTCATAAGCAAAATCCAATGCCGAATGAAAACCTAAGAGCAGCATCGACATGCAGGATTTCCAAGTACTGGAGTCTTGCCGTTGTACAGCAATCATTTTCCTGATTCTCAACGTCTTCAATCACGGTATCACAATGTTTTCGGATATTGAGATTCTTAGGGGTTTCAAGAGATTTCCCGATAGATATTCATCCTCCTGCCGATGTATCGGGGAAACGAGTTCCTTGGGTCATCCAGCATAATAGACATTTCGATACATGAGGCTCCGAGATCAAGGTAGACAAATTTCAATACTTCACTTGATATCACGACTTTCGATTGGTGGTAAATTGATTTTACCCATTCCTGGCGAATTAGCATCTCTCGTGCGTCTTCTTCCCTACAAACAAGTGTCTGTAGGTCGCACAAACCTTGATATTTGCTCACCTTACATGCATGCAGTCTTATGGCTTACAAGACCGCATCGCAATCTCAGCTTCTGATCTCTTTCCTGAATTGTCTCATACATTGAGCCAAAAGGTGATTAAAGAAGATTTTCTCATCTACAATATCCCGAATCATGAGGGAAATTATTGTCCATCCCAGTCCTGAAATCTTGACTGAGATCACTGAAGTAGAAATTCCACAGCCTGGGCCCGACGATGTAGTGATCAAAGTTATCGTTGCGGGGAGTAATTTCAAAGGTAAGCACACTTTTTCAACGTGCGCTCGAAAAGTAGTAGCTCAGACAGATATCTACTTTCTAGATTGGCTCCATCTCAAGGCATTGGAGAAATCACTCAACAGTGGAGATGAAATCGCTGGCGTTCTTCATTCCATTGGTACGAATGTGCAAACAAAGAACGACCATTATCTCGGAGACCGTGTTGCTGCCTTTCATCCGATGATGGAACCACATGGAGCTTACGCCGAATATGCTGTTGCGCCGATTTATACTGTAATGAAACTTCCAGACGCAATAACCTTTGAAGGTCGGTACCGAGTCGGCGACTGATGTCAGTTTCTGATTGTTTCTTAGAAGCTGCGACCATTCCGCTAGTTGCTACCACGGCGGCACTTTCTCTATTTCGCCGTCAGCATCTGCCGCCTCCATGGTCACCAAGGGCTGATAGTGTGCCTCTTCAGCTCATCATCTATGGTGCATCTTCTTCTCTTGGTACATTTGCAATCAAATTAGCTCGTGCCTCAAACATCCACCCAATTATTGCTATCGCAGGAAGCAGCTCTTGGCATTTGCATTCCCTTCTTGATCCATCTTCTGGTGACAAGCTAATCGATTATCGCTTGGGCACTGAACAAATGATCAAAGCCACTAAAGTGGCCTTAGGAAGTGTGGAGTATCACCATGCTCTTGATGCCATCAGCTCAAATGGCACATGGATCCCGATCTCCCATATGTTAACTCCGTCATTTTCCTCGCAGTCGCCATCTTACTTATCAGTCGTCACAGGCTCTAATAAGTACGATGAAGAATCGATTCAGTCGGGAATTGAAGTAGTATACACCATGGTAGGCACAGCACATACGGGCGTCTATAAACCAGACATGGTTAAACAACCATCCGATAAAGAATTTGTGAAGGGTGATCCAGAGTAGGTGGCTGTGTTCTTTAAATACATGACTCAGATGTTGGCAGATGGTAGATTTACTGGAATCCCCTTTGATGTTATTGGTGGAGGTTTGACAGGAGCTGGAGAGGGCCTGGGACGTTTCGGAGAGGATAGGCTAAGGGAGTCAAATATGTCTACAAGATCGGAGAATTTGAGTGGGAACATTTTGGGGTACCATTCTGACTGGTCAGGGACCGATTGTGCTCACGATCCAGCAGAAACAATTTAGTTACTATCTTATCAGAACGCATACTTGGTTTTGAATTGGAAATCTGAAAGGCCTAAGTCTTGAGAAACAGGTATAAATTTCAGAGGATGCAAGGTATATTTTTCACTCTAACTATCAGTCTAGACCCGTTACTTACCGAGTTTGCAGCTTTTAATTCGGCATTTAAAAACTTGTATCAATCTCTGATGCTGATCGATCAATTATCGCCATCTGAGAATCAACCCACTTCATTATCGACAAATTCATCATTTGCATTTTTCCATTCTTTACTCATTTGATTTGCTAGCCTATCAGCCAATTGTACTCAAACAAATTCCGATCAAACCCCATCGTTTTCGGACATACCGGTAGGTCTCGGCATTGTCTCCATTTAAATTTCTTTATTTGGTTCATTATCATATCAAAGTCATGACGTCGCAAAAATTCCCACCCTATGGCTCCTCCAGTTCTATTTGTGATGTAACCAAGTGACATTCATCCTAGTATTTTGATTACAATGCATAGTTCGTGCATAATCTTCTGGTTGCACATTGGCCTGGGCGAAGAGGGGTAAATACTTTATTATCCGTACTTTCTTATCACCTCCCTCCCTAAATTCTTGTCCACGTTTTCAAAGTAAAATATTGAGTGCAAGATATTCAATTGATTTTTGAGAACGTTTGAACGCAATGACAGAATCTGAATCGAACATCCATCATGCAAATAGCATGAATGGTCCAACCGGTAGAAGTGATGCTAGACATCCAAGTATACTGCACCCAGATCTCGAGATACGTTCCAGTGATGAATTGCCAGATCCAAGTGAATTGGAATTGGAGGAAGAGTTAGATGGTTGGCACGGATATATCGAATGGGAAAAATATCCTGAGCGAAAGCAGAAAGTAAAAGAATTCATGAAGAAATATAAGTTTCCCTCGGTATGGAAGCAGTCCAAGTTTTAAACGAGACTCAAATGCTGATCGATTTGTGGTTCAGGCACCCGAATTTCAATTAGTTCCCTTACCCAAAACTAATCCAGTACTAGAAGGTGTGAGATGGAAACAGTATCATTATGCATTGGGCAAAAAAACGAAAGATATGCCAGCAGAGAGCTGGCTGTTTGTTGAGAAGGAAAAGTCTCCAGACATGATTCATGTCTTACAATTCCCATACAACGGAGAACCCCCTCGAGTATTTCCATCCACTTCTTTGAGTCTGGGATAGCAAGAATAACAAATTCGAACAGAATCGACTCGTTGAATCGGCCATAACTTCTAATGAGGATCATTTTGTTCGAAATCATGGTGGAATTCCTGAGATCGACGAAGACTCTTACTTCTTCGATGTTGCTGGTTTGGTCAACAATCCGAAACGTATTACTTTGAAGGATTTGAAGGATGAAACCATCTTCCCAAGACAGAGTAACGTGGTCACAATTCAATGTTCAGGGACCAGGAGAATTGAGCAAATTAATCAGTACCCTGGTGACGGAGATGAACTCATCAATGCACCCGTACGTAACAACGCTCTCTCTTGTATAACGGCAAACTGACATAAGTAAAGTGGGGAGAAGGAGCTATTGGAACCGCACGATGGACCGGTGTATCCCTCAAGAAAGTTATCAAATACTGCGGTGGCCTCAAAGACCCATCAGGAACTTATCATCTTGAATTTCTCGGCGCAGACACCTACTTCAAAAAGGGAGAAGTATACAACTACGCTGTATCCGTTCCCTGGCGCAAGGTGAAAATTAATGAGGTACTGCTGGCCTGGGAAATGAATGGGGAGCCACTCCCTAAGATCCATGGCTTTCCATTACGTGCTGTGGTATTTGGCTATATCGGCGCTCGCTCATGTAAATGGCTTACCAGGATTAACGTTCTACCCCATGAATCTCTTGGTCCGGTGCAGAAGAAAGAATACTTGTATTACAATTCTCAAGTTGGAAAACATAATGCAGCTTACAGTTCTGGATTTAGTATTCAAGATATGCCAGTAAGTTCAGCGATCATGAGCCCAGTGGATATGGATCAGATAATACATGAGGGGACAATAAAAATGAGGGGATGGGCATACAGTGGGGGAGGACATTGGCCGGTGAGAGTAGAGGTTAGTGGGGATGGAGGGAATATTTGGTACGAGGTACCTTATGAGAACTTGAGCGAAAAGTATTATCATGCTTGGAGATTATGGGAGATCGATCTTCCAGTCGATGCGGAAGGATGGTTAGAGTTGGTGGTTAGGTGTTGGGATAATTCAATGAATACGCAACCTACATTTGTGAGATCTACTTGGTAAGCTTCCTCTCTTTCTCCCACTTGTCAAATTAGCTAATATCTGTCAGGAATTGGGATCTCCATGTCACTTCTTCCTGTCACCGAATCAAAGTCTTTAGTATCAACAAGACGAGACCAAAGACAGCAGCAAGACTGCAAATGTATGAGAAAATGGGAGTACCGTTCCTGCCAATCACTCAGCCTGGACCTTTTGAATTGGAGGAAGATGACACGTATGATGCAGAGATGGAAGCTAGAGGTGGTCGGGATCCTTTAGAGTAACGGAGAAGAAATCTCATGTGGAGTTCAGTTGGTTATTATTTTCAGTGGTGCTACGGAGTTGAGTTGAGCGTTGTTGTAAGCAATATGTGGTTACTTGATAGTTGTCTTTAATAGCTTAATCTGAAATTCTATTGATGTCTAGTATACCCCCAGGTACTTCTGGCCCATTCATTCCCGGTGAGTCGACGGTATAATTTCACATATTTTCATGAGCTTAGCTAAAGGCCTATCAGGTAGGCTCTGAAGCCTATAAATTATAGGGCTACACTTTCAGCCCCACCACTGTCCATCCAACGACGTCATAGCACATACAGACTACCCCACACATTTATATCCTGCTTAAACTCTATCATCAAGTTGACTTTCGTCACTTATTTTACTTTCAAATAACACTAAAACAATACTATCTAAGGGCCGGTCCGCTTTTTATAACTTACTATATAGTCCAACAAGACTAACGTACACTTGGAAAAAAAGATATGTTTCAAGCACTCAAATCCAGCATGACGGACAAAGTACAATCTCCTCCTAAAGATGCTGATGGGAATCCCAGCACTCAAGAGAAAGTTCTTTCCCAAATCAACGAAAAGATAAAGGCAGCTCAAGAAGCCACCGAAAAAGCATCTGCAAATCGCGAAGAAGCATCCTCGCTTCCTGATTCCGAAGATGCCCAAGAAGCAAAGGCAAAACTTCTAGAAGAAGCTCAGAAATTGGAGAAGAGAGCGAATTCGGAGTTGAAGATTGCTCAGAGGTTGCAGAGTGGAGTGTGGCAGGGAGGGGCTGGAGGTGCGGGGATAGGGGCGGGTGTGGGAATGGGGTTGGGGACGGTGGTGGGATCGGTGGTGGGAGGTGTGGTGAGTGTGCCGACTACGGGGTTGGGATTGTTGGCGGGTGTTGGGGCAGGGGCGGCTCATGGACCTTGGTTTAAGTTACCGAAGATTGGGGGAGAGGAAGGAGAAGCAGGGGAAGCAGATGAGAAAGCGGCGGAGGGAGATGTGAAGAAGGAAGAGGGAGAGATGAAGAAAGTGGAGGCGGAGATGGAAGAGGAGAAATAGTCGTCGTGAGATGTGGATGATTGCTTTCGATACGAATCTACGAATTTCACGGCCGATATGCGAATTTCGAATCCAGAAGCGATGTTTTATATTATACCAATTGTTTGAAGATGGGACGAGATTGAGTCTTTGTGGAAGAACGCTGGAGCAACACCATCAAACACGAAGGTGTTGATATATGTATTTTATATGGGCACATTTGGAGTTGGAATCTCGAACACATTTTTTGTTATTTTGATCTTATATGATGGTTTGATACTTTTATCATGCTATTTTTGTATGTTCTTTGTTTGTATACTATCTCACCTTCATGGAACGAAAATCGGGACAATTTAAACATTGTGTTCTCGTGAAGGCTAGACGACCACAAATAATGCTTGAACCAAATAATTTGAACTGTAAATACTCTCATCGAGACCATCTCAGACCACAGATTACAATATTTGATTTTTGCCCACAAGTTTGGCTCATTGTCATCTCATTGCCAGATTAATGCAATTTATTTGATCCGCAAATCAAATGCACAGTATTTGAATCATCTTTACCATGCCATTCTTCAATCTGCATAAGCTTATCATCTTATTTACTTCTACTACCCTCTACAAAAACAATATCTCCAGCGCTACATACAAAGATCCAAATCCTATCCACTCTCTTCCCAGCTTGCAACTCATCACACACCATCTCGATCATCGCTTTCCTGTAAGACCGAGCGAGAATGTCAATCCCCCGATTTAGATTCAGTCATCGTAGATGGTAATGATCATATTCTCTCTCTTACTCACAGGAAAAAACTCGTTCACTGAAGAAGTCAAACAGCGAGATATGGACCCATTGCAGGTGAATTTTCATTTCTTCAATTTCTATCTAAATGCCCAAGCTAAGATCGGATACAAACTGACACTGTAAATTCCTCATTTCACCACCATAAGTTTTCCTAGACCCCAATTCCATATTTCCTAAGCAGTGTGTGAAAATCTCGGAAGAACCTAACTACATTACCATTCCAGCGTTCCAAAAAAAAAAATCAACCCGAAAAATATCTCATCTCATCCCATCCCATCCCATTCTATACTAACCAACCCCTTCCCAATTCCCTTGCTCTCTCCAAAAATTCCCTTAACTCCTCCGAGAGGAAACTCCCACCAACCCTACAAAACCAACAATCCCACCACCCCCAATCCCCCAATCAACCCACCAATTCCCACCTCCCTCGCGCTCCTCCCCGCCGCCCCCAAAAACTGCACCGGTCCACTCCCATCCCCCGTCTCATCCCCAATTTCACTCGGGGTCGCTCCAAACGTCGATTCCACTGCGTTATTCAAAGATGTCGATGATTCATCAATTGTAGCTGGATTAGTCGCGGCGGGAATAACAGAGGGGAGAACAGAAGCAGCGAGGATATCGGCAGTGCCGACTGGGGGGAGAGATTGAGGGAGAATGGATGCGGGGAGGGAAGAGAGGGGATAGAGGGGGAGAATACCTGCAGCGGGGGGAGGAGAGGGGGTTGTGAGAGCGGCGAGGGAGGCGGAAGTAGGGGAGATGGTTGCGAGGGGCGATTGGGGGAGAATGGCGGGTGTGAGGGCTATTCCGGGGAGAGCACGCGTTTGTGTGCAGGGACTGTGTGGGAGGGTAGAAATGTTAGTTTTGGTTTTGGTTGTGATTCGTGCTTTGTGTTTTATGGGTCTGGCTCGTTCGCTCGCTACGCGAAAAGGGGAAAGAAAGATGGAAAGCAAAGAAATGAAATAAAAAGGAAGAAGAGAAAGAAAAGATGAACAAACCAATCTGTAATAGTAAGTGTCGAAGCCTCAGTAATCGTATACATAATCCCATTCTGCTCAAACTTCGTCGCCTTAGGACAATAAGTCGTCAGCGCCGTGACAATTTCCGTCGTGTAAACTATCCCATCTTTTTTCTCATCATCGTCGTCGTCATTCACATCAATATTGTAATTATCATTATCGTTATAGTTGATGTTGTAATTGTTGTTGATATTGGTGTTGGAATTGTAATTCTCGTTTTCGTTGGTGTTGTAATTCTGGTTTTGGTTTTGGTTGGCGTTGCCGTTGGGATTGAGATTTCCGTTGGACGTTCCACTGGAGGTTTCACTACCACTGCCACTACCACTGCCGGTTTGAGAGTCGGTATCGAGACCGGTGATGAGTGTGGAAAAGGGGAGAAGAAGGACAACGAGCGTGACGAGGGTGGGTTGATGCATTTTGGGTTTGGAGTAAAGAAGTATGTTAATAAAAATCTACTTTTTTGACTTGAAGTCTGGGAGTTTGATGACCAGAAGAGATCGAAGGACTGGAAGCTTAGAACAACCGGGTAGAATAGACTGCCTTAAATCAATATCGAAAGGAGAGCTGGTTGAACGAACAACAGGAAAATAGCTAAGGAAGTCTTGGGAAATCCTCTCTTCTTATGTGTTGACGGGTCAACTCACAGCTTCTCAGCTCTTCGCATGTATTAAATCATAGAAAATTACTCCCGACTATCCAATCTCCTATCATGATTCTCTTCATTCTACGCCATGAAGCTTGTTTACCGATATTTATAGCCTTGGAATGTAAAAGCACAGTCTTAGATTCGTCTTGGATCGCGGCGTTTGAGGACAGGAATGTGTAGCATACGAGATACGCATTCCAGTCTACCTTGATCTCTTGGTATGTGGTTTCATGTTCGTCGATCTCGCGACGACAAGTATGCACGCCACTTTCTTAAAGTAATTTTTTGCAGTTGGCTGGCTCGTTTTCTCGGGACCGAAGCAATGGTCGTACGTAGCATATTGAAATGAGGTGACGAGTCATATGAAAGAGACAATATTGAGTTCACTTCTGATATTTTCAAAAATGTACATTAGACTCTTTGTATGAGTATCTTTTTGCAGCTGAGCGCTTGAACGACCACTAAGTTGACTCCTTGACTTGTCATTTAGATACGCACAAGCTTACGAGGATACGGATAGCTTGTGGTCAACATCAGCAAAAGATACATGCCGACTTCATCGTTATGAGTTTCTCAGAATAGACTTCTATGTGTTGTACATTCCCACACCACAATGATAGATTATTGTTCCCTCGTTACTTTGAATCTTAGGCCTAGATCTAAGAGATCACACAACCTATGATATACGCCCACATATTCGCGCTTCAGCTATCCCCGGATACTTGATATCGGCAGCGGTAGATCAAGTAGGGTAACGAGATCAATTTCAACTCTCAACACTCAAGCTGTCAAACTTTCAAACTCTCTTTGCTAACCTTCTGATAGAATATCAAATTTATTACACACCGCGTTCTATTTCACATCCCAATAACAACTCAACTCCTCCATCCATCCGGTCTAATTCCGTCCACTCACCATCATGAGACCCTTAAACAACACCCCATGACTTTCTTGCATATATTATAATAGAGATGGATAGACAACCATCCATCATCACCCTACAGCATTAATTTGAATCTTGCTGTAAAAACAGAATCATGTGAAACTTGAGGTAAATATCATCCAATCAACTAAATCACATATCGACAGCAAACACTCAAGGAATCTATATTTAATAGTTCATCTCAATCCATATCTATGAGACAGAAATCCACCATCAAACACCCCCAAAAACCATCTTAATCCCTCATCAAGGAAGCTCCAACACAAAGCTCAACTCAAATCCATCACACAAGCGCAAAAACCTCAAATTCAAATATATACACGTAAGAAAAATACTACATGCATATACGAAAACCCCATCCCAACAGATCAACCAAGAGAAAATGAAATAAAACAAAAAACTCTCATCCATACCTATTACAAATCTCTTCTCATCCCATCTCATCACTCATCACGAAACGAAGTCGTGATGACTTAAGATTTCCACAAATCATCTTGATATTTTCTCCTTTGTATTAGTGGCCTGTGTCACGAGTGGTAATGTATTCACCGAGT